TGAGATTAACACAGACACAGGATGTATTAACATACAAATTTATTACGAATTATTAAAGAGGAATAAAAGTCACCGACCTTGGTTCATAGTAAACTCACTTTAGCAATCTTCTTTGCGTATACTCCAAATCGACTTTAAAACAGGATGTCTCGCGATTACGTGTGGGTTGTTTCATCCCACTTCTGAATCTGTCAGCTTTTCTCCAATAAAACCACGACAACTCACTTAGTTAACTGTTTAACCACTATGTTCGTTGTTTAATTTCACTCTTAAATTGTATATAATACTTTATAACACACTATACTTTACTTTCACAAAGAAGACTATATATTAATTTAACTTCACTCACAACCTTTTAAATCACCTTATTTCACAATAGACTTGACTATTATAACCTTCTCAGCACCACTGTTCGTAATCAACTGCCGCGAGCGTCAAGTGTACGCGCTTTTATATTGTGACTCAATTCTAGAATTAATGTAGGTAGTTTGAAATGGATTCATATTAATATTAATTGTGAAGATTGCTAAGTAAATAAGATAGTGATCATTTATCTAACACTCCCTAGCTACAATAGCCCCGGGTGACCTTATATTAAGTTCTTATTGTTTCTACATGTGTTTGTTAATTTAAAGATTACTTGACACGTTAATACATAATAGATTAGTACTTATACTCGAATTTTCTTTACAACATTTGTGGAACTGGTAGAGTTATAATAAATATTTTATTTTTATTTTTATTTAGAACCAGTGAATAAATTATTAAAAATGTCGGAAATTAAACTTATTCCTAATGAATTAACTAAAATAATACCAACATTTAGCGGCCATAAACGCCATTTAAATTTCATCATCATCATCATCATCATAATCATTACAGCCCTTTACAAGTCCATTGCTGAACATAGGCCTCCCCCAAGGTATGCCACTAAGCACGGTCCCGAGCCACCTGCATCCATCGACATCCATCCATCCATCCTCGGTTCTCGAGTGGCAGCCTCGTACCGGTAGACGAAGTGTAGGGTGACCCCCCACTAGATGGAGTGACGACCTGGTAAGACATTTAAATTTATTTTTGCGTAAATGTGAATATATAATAAGTAACTTTAAATCATCCGATGTGCAAAATGAATATATATTGCAAATCATTACTAGTCGTCTTACGGGCGAGGCTGCGTCGCTTATCAGTGAACGGGAAGATATGGAGACGTGGGCCGAATTCAAGGAATCTAGACACGCGGTAGCGTGGCAAGCCAAGTTCAAGCAGAACGGCGAGCCGCACCGTGTGTAATATTAGACGAACCACTTGAAGCTACGTTTGACCCCCTCATAACTCAAAAACTATTTCACATAAACGTGTCAAATTAGGCTCAAATATTGAGACTTGCGAGATACATATGTGCTTCAAATTTCATAAACACATCTCAAACGGTTATTTAGATATTAATGTCCGAAAATCGTCATTTTTATCGCTGACTGACCTATAGATCAAAACTCTAACCCAGTTCCAGATGACCTAGAAAGTTAAAATTTGACATGCAGATAGGTAATTAGGTGAATACAAAGGAATAAATCAGAAACTGGTAAATTTTTATCATTTTATTATAATTTTTCACTTATTTGATTATATTAGGAACACTAAACTTTATATTATACTTATAACTGTAATAATGTATGTTTGTAAGAATCAGCAATCAGCAATTTATTTATTTGCTTTTTCAGGGAAATATACAGTACAATAAAAAAAATACATTATAAAACATATAAAAGTAATCCTAAAACCAATGAAGTTTCCACAGATATCTAAAACATATTAAAAGCTTGCAACCACAATATGTTTAAAGATTGAAAAAAAATAACTAAATGGTATTTATAATTAAAACATTAAGTACTAAGCATAAAATAAAAGTAATACAATACACACAAACTATAGTGAAGCTACCAATTATAAATTAAGTTTTACAATATTTTTTTATAACTATTATATTTAAGGTGAAAAATATCTAGTTCACAATATTTTAAGTTAATATGTTTACATGTACGAGATACAAAATTATTAGAAGCTTACTTCGTTTTTACTTTACGTAATGCAAAAAGAGGCTTTTTTCGTGCACCTAACCGGTGACACGCAAGATTCACTTTGCTTAAAAGTAGGGTACAATCAAAACTTATGACAGCCGTTCTTAAATATATAACGAGTTGAATACACCCTTAATTTTTTTGATACAAATATTTCTGCTTTAGTACTTATAACTAAACTAAGAGTATAGTCGACTTTCGTATTTATTACGTTATTAACTGAGATTTAGTATTAATTATTGTTTCAATATTTAGTGCATATCAATAGTGTACGATCGTTACTTATAAATAATTAAATAATAGGCATTGAGATACACTGATGATAATAGATAGGCAATTCGGTACACGGCGCGCGTTGCGACCGTGCGACGCCGAAGGAGCGGGGGTTGGAGCGGTGCGATAAAACCTTGACGGGCGTAGACAGAGGAACCTATAGACAAATTGACGCCTTCTTTCGCATTCGCACACGAAAAAGATAGATTGATGCATACGTTTTGCATAGAAATGAGACAGAGCGGTGTGATTGTTTGTCCCTTTCTCTGTGCCGGTTTTTTTGTTTAGCAAACTACACTTTGCTAAACAACTTTGACAGTTCGTAAGGATCTAAGGAGTTTACAAGTTGGTTAAATTGAGAGAAAAAAGTGTTTTATGAGCTTAAGATTGGTGAATCTTGTTCAGTTCAGTTCTTAGAACAATTAAATTTTTATCTAAATATGTTTAATAGTCATAAAGATTAATATATAACCTAAAACTACGTTATCGTCCTTTCTCACTCCAGGCCACGTTAATCATTAGTCTATAGGTTTCTGTGTCTACGTTGACGCGAACGTGTCCAAGCAAGAGGAAGCTGCCATATTCAGTAGTCTATGGGAGCGACGTCTTGCTGTCCGGTTGTTTCTCGATATCTGACCTAAAAGGTTGCGATTTATGCTACGAAATTCATAGGTTTTCTTAAAAATACTTATATATTTATGGTTATATTATTATTACAATTCGTTTAGTAAGTACGTATCGCGTATCTAGATGGTATAGGCAATAGTTTAAATAAAAATTAGTAATAATTTTGGTATAGTTGTAATAGTTATAAGTAGGTATGTAGGTATACTTAACTCTGAATGAATTTGAGAATGTGAACTTGTTGGTATGGTAACGAATTGTTTTTCTTGAGAACTCAACAGATAACAGGTAATTTGTTATATAATCGTCTTAAATAATTATATTTTTATTATGTATATTGTACAATGAGTCGTACAATAGAATTACGTGTGGGTGACACACTTGCTTTAGACCGAATTATTCCAATGCCTCCCGATGGAAGCTGCCTATTCCATTCGATTGCATATTCTTTATTTGAGTATAGTAATATACAACAAACAAATAGGTTGCGTGAGACTATAGTAGAGTACGAGACATATGCCGTAACAGGGATGATTTAAGTATGTACACTAGCGCTCCAAACGGGGATCCTTACTGCTCTGAAGAAGAGTATCGAGCAAGCATGCTTTGTTCGATAACTTATGGAGCTGCTTCTGAATTAAAGGCTGCAGTAAATTTGCATAATATTAGATCGAAGTGTATCAGGATGATGTTCTGCTAGGTTTGTTCGGCGAAGAGGGATATCCTATAAAGTGCTTGCTCTTTACGGAAAATCTCTCTTCGGGCAATTATGACGTGTGTATTCCAGTGGAACAAGACATCAATAATATGTCTATTTCTCCCGATACAATTCAAGAGAACGAGTCTTTGTTTAACAAAAACCATTTGGTATTAATTTTGTTATAAATAAGTATTACCTACTAATAATTAGTACAAGTAACAGAGATAAACAAGCAGGTTGATAAACTTCTATTAAATAATGTAATTGTGGAATCTTTCTCCCTATGGAAGTCTCCCGTACATCTTGTTCCAAAAAAGGCTGATGCTTCGGGCGAAGTTAAATACATAATGGTCATAGATTACAAAAGGCTAAATAAAATTACAGTTAATGATAAGTATCCCCTTCCAAATATCGCAGACCTTTTCGATAAGCTAGGTAAGAGCACATACTTTTCAACACTCGACCAGGCCGGCGGCTGTCACCAAATTAAACTTAATGAAGATGACCTACAGAAAACTGCCTTCAGCACTCAAAATGGACACTATGAGTTCCTGAGGATGCCATTTGGGTTAAAAACAGCTCCCGTCACCTTTCAAAGGGCTATGAATAACGTCTTAAGAGGTTTGCAAGGAATCCATTGCCTTGTGTACCTTGACGACGTTATTTATCTTTTCTGCTAGTCTACAAGAACACGTGGAGAAACTCTGTACAGTTTTTGGCTAACTTCGAAAGACTAACATGAAAATACAATTAGAAAAATCTGAATTTTTCCGAAGTTTTATATCTTGGACACACCATAACTAAAGACGAACTGCGACCAAACGATGACAAAATAAAAGTTATACAGAATTATCCTCTTCCTAAGACAACCACCGATATCAAAAGTTTCCTGGGGCTGGTTGTATATTATAGACAATTTATAAAGGACTTTGCGAAAATCACGCAGCCCTTAACGTCGTGCTTAAAGAAAAGGAATAAGATAATTGTAGACCAAAATTATATAGATGCTTTTCATAAATGTAAAGAAATATTGACCAGTGTTCCACTACTACAATCCCCGGATTCGACTAAACTGTACATATTAACTACCGACGCTTCGAATGTCGTTTTTGGTGCGTTACTGTCACAGGGACCAATAGGGTCAGATAAGTCTAATGCATATTTTAGGCCCTACTTGTACGGACAGAAATTTCAAATTTATACAGATCATAGACCCCTCGCTTGGCTCTATTCCCCTAAAAAGCCTAACAGTAAACTAACACGCTGGCTTTTGCGTCTTCGAACTCTCTCGCATAAAACTTAATGCTTTAGACGACGCAGCAATGGATGTTAATGTCGATGACGATGACATACAAAAAGTAATACGCCAACAGAAGGAACTTGAAACATACAGACCTAAGACTCAACCAGAGACAGTGATAATTTCAGACTCGGACTCGAGTGTGACGGATCATATAGATTTGTTCGATGAAAATTACCCTGTACCATTCGTAACTAACAGTAGTAGAACAGACACGATACACTATTGAATCTGTGTCAGCAGCAATCCCAATTTTGAGCGAGGCAATAGATACCAAAGCAAATCAGATCCTTGTATTTTCTTGGTTCCAAAAATAAACTACAGGTCAGAAATTTATCCAGAGAAAAACAAAAGGTACTAGAGGTATTTCTCCCACTAGAAAACGAAGAATTAATAAAACAATTTTTAAAAGAATACATAAAATTTAAGAGTTGATACTTTATTTATTTTGAGAACGCTGAGCATATGAAATTATTTGCGAAAGTTATTATAGAATTATTTAAGAAGATGCAGTACAATTAAAGAATTTTTCAAAGGAATGTACATAACGCGTAGTATATGTGGAGGATGGAAAAGAACAAAAAGCTGTCATTCTCGAATACTATGAAGGAAAACATGTCATCGTAGTGTGAAAGAAACTATGATAAGAATACGCAGAAACTATTATTGGGAAAATATGCAAGACACTGTAGCTGCCGTTATCACATTCTTGTGACCCTTGCAGGTTAATGAAGTACGATAGGAAACCAATAAAACCTTCAACTCAGGATGCACCTCTTCAGGAACTATTTATAGATTTAATTACTACTGAGAAGAAGTATTATTTAACCGTTGTGGATGCTTTTAGCAAATTAGGGCAGGCCATAGAGATTGCGAGTCGACAATCCGCTGAAGTAGCGCGAGCATTAATTAAATATTTTTCTATGTACGGAATTCCTCAGAAAATATCATCTGATTCAGGCACTGAACTCAATCACGAATTTATGCGTCGGCTCCTATCTAAAATTGAAACTCATGTCGAAAGATTTCATTCCACTATAATTGAAATATATAGACTTGCAAAATATGAACATAAATGCACAGACGCTGCATCTGTCATGACATATTCAGTCATGGCATATAATCATACTATTCATTCAACGTCAGGACTAACACCCTTTAAAGTAGCATTTGGTCATACCGAATCTGGTAAAATATTCGACGTAGATTTTGAAAAGGCATATACACAGCAACTCGTTAAAGACCACGCGAGACGAACCAAATACTTATACAGGTATATTTCCGAAAAATCCATACAGATAAAGAAAAGGTAAGGAAAAAGAAAAGCGGGGTATCTGGAATTGATCTTAAGGAAGGTGATACGGTTTTTATTAAAGATATTAGCTTAAAGAAAAGTAAGGAGAAGCCTATGTATCAAAAGGCGAAAGTGCAAGGTTATATTGAAACATAATACCTGTAACGATAGGGAAAAGAAAAACTAAAGTGCATCTCAAAAATTTGAAACGCCCTCCGCAGGCTTTTGGCGATCTTCTTGAACTTAAATCTGATGATCCGGACCCAAGGCCTTCAACTTCTAAAGGTTGAGCATAATCCATACATGTTACCCGTAAAGCAAGGACAAGCCCCAAGGAAGTGCTCCCACCTATAATAGAACAACTGTTACTTTTCCCTAATACCCTTACCTCAAGGTGAAAGATCACAGGTACTTACCCTTAAATGGCCCATGTCAGGAGATAGCAGCAAACCAGTTCCTGTGTGAAGAAATTGATGTCGTGCAGTATCCCGAAAACACATGCATAGAACAACTTATGAACTTCGCATCAAATCGAAGCCTTTGTAAATTATCAATAGTAGAGCTTGTTAAGAGTGTGTTAAGATACAGTCTATTGGTTCTATTAATTGGATCCTATTTACACAAAATGAAAATGAGAAGAGATGCTCTAAAGGGCACTTACCTCTTGGAAATCGATGAAAACTGTGAGATAAAGTTAGGCAATATTAAATTACATCGGAAACGATACCATTTAGGAAAACTGCAATAAAAGGTGACACCTATTTTAACTAACCAAATTGATAGAGCAGCCCACCAATGCGGAGAAAACAGTGAATTTAAATCGCGTTAATTTGGATGAACTAAAATATCTCTCGTACAAAGTGAAAAGTGAAATAGTGGAAAGTGAAAGTGAAAGCTCAATGAATAAGAAAAGTGTTAGTTAGCTACTGTACTACTCTATGTTATATTAGTTATAATTAGTCTTATTGTTGTAATTTGGAAAAATAAGTCTAAGCTCTTACATTGTATGCAAAATCATCGGAATCCAAATCTTGCCGATAACTTTGCAGTTGAGGAGGGAGCAGTTATGGTTACACCAGCACCACCCATAATACGTATAAAGCGTTCATCAGCATAAATACATAAACGCTGAGTATGTAGTAATTTAAGTAGACTGTAAACATGGGATTATGGATTGTAAAAAACAATGGACAGAATAAGTTCAGTTTATAATCAGTTTTAAAAAAATCTCGGCAGCTCCCGCAACTTGACTAGGTATTTAAAGCCATACAGGTTATCCTAGAGGTTGACGTGAATCCCGACAGTTGGTTAGGTATTCGGACAGCTTTAATGAAACACGTAAATCCATCGTTAAGACTCGCGAAATGCAAGTTAATGAATGTGCAGGTATTGACTGCGATTAAAACGCTTACGATTGTATTAATACTGGCCTAGAATTTAGAGAGTACCATAACACCGTCGATCCAGCATATTATTAGAGTGGTATGCTAATAGTATTCATATTTAAATTTCCAATAATTTCCAAAAAAAATTTCGACATATATAGGAAAAAGCTATAGTGCCTAATAGCAGTGCTTAGGCTCTCATGTCTCCATTCCTATTTATTGCAACCACACAGAACTCATTCTTATATTATGTTTAGGATAATTTCAACGATTGGTGCCAGAAGTGGGATAAAATCATGCCGATTTTACCTAAGGACGACAAGGAGGGTATACGTGCCCGAAGTCAACGCCAGCAAGACACGGACCAGAGACGACTTGGCGGTGCAACGCCGCAGATGTCGAAGGGCCAGCTGCCGACCACGGAGGTCGACCCGTTAGAAGCTCCTGCATCAGCAGCACCTGACTTAGGTGCTCTGATGATGATGATGCAGGAGCAGGTCCGCCGACAGGAGGAGCAGGCCCGCCGACAGGAGGAACAGACCCGTCGGTTGAAAGAGTAGATGCTCCTCATGAAGGACCCTCACGCTACCTTTGGGAAAGAGATAAGGGAAGTGAAGGTTAGGGTTGCTCAACATTTCAACCGCCTGTCGGAAAGAAGGAAGTGACTTACGAGCAGCTCCTTGAGGCATTGGAGGCGATATATGGCGACGCTCACCTGGAACACGTCATTCGTGCGCAGCTTAAAGATCGCGTGTAATGCAGCAACGAAAACCTGCAGCAATGGGCTCTTGAGGTGAAGAAGCTGGTTCGAAATGCATTCCGGTTTGTATCTGCGCTTATTGAAAGGAACCTGGTGCAGACATTCATCAACATACTGTAACTGTAGAAAGGGAAGGTGATCGATCTCTAAAGGGTAGTGCGGCTAACAGCACCGCCTAGCAGCAGCAGGCTAAAATAAACGAATAAAAGTCTGGAGGCGGGTGACTTTGGGGACTCCGCATACAACCGAAATATAATTAGTTTGGTGACAACCACCGATCTGCGCATACCCGTTCATGGAGAAAAGGAGATGGAGTTGAAGCCAGGCAACATAATCTCAGTCTAGTGTCATCGTAGTTGATATAATGGATGGCTGCATCCAGGGCCTAGACTTTATGAAGAAGAATTGTTGTGAGATCGACGTTAAGAAAGGTGTTTTGATATGGGGACAAGAAGAATTTTTATGGAAGGGGCGTTACTAGGGAATGTGTACAGCCTTAAAAAGATTATTCTTCCGCCAACTTCGGAAGTGATTATCCTTGGCAAACTCATCGTTGTGTACTCGTGGAAAGGGTAGACAATGACCTTCCATGGAAAGTGTCTCGAAACTTGGTCAGAACCACTGATATCTCAGGAGTACTTGTGCCTTTGTGATCAGAAACAAATTATAGAAAAAGGCACACTAGTTGGTACTTTTGAGGAAGTGGATTGGGTGCGACGGTGCCAAAATATATCGATTACGACCCCAGCTAAACAAAAGAATGGTACCTCTTCCTTGCTACCCCACTAAGCTTATAATGCCTAGCGAATTTTTTCTTTTCTCCTCCCTGGTTCTTTTCCGATTGTAGTTCGGCTGCAGACGTGCCCTCCACTTCACGGCTCGTCCCAGGTTGGGGCGTAGTGTTGCAGGATATTGGTGAGGCTAAAAGAGCGAAAGAATGAAAACATAAGCTGCTATTTCAGATAATCTAAAAATGGATAAATGTGTAATGAATCAACTATACCAATATAATACAATACAAATCTTGTAAAGAGCAATAAACGTACCAATATCGTAGATTAGTTTCGGATCCATCGTTTCAAATGAATGGGAAGTTCTTTGAACTTACACATTTTAATCATACGTTGACTACGTCTATATAATTATGTAGCTAAATAAAAACTGTTAATTAAACCAAAATTAAATATATTTTGATAGTACAATCGTATTTTGTCAAAGAACAAACATTAATTAATATAAAAAGACCAATAATAACTAAAGAAATTATAAATTGGAGGGGGAGGAGGGCTAACTATAAGGCAGGTGTGTATTTGTATTTTTTTTAAATAAGTTATTGACGAACAAACAATTATTGATAGAGAACAATCAAGAACAAACTACGAACTAACGATATGTGATAACGAAATTTGAAAAATAAAAAAATAAAAATTTTCGGGGGGCTAACTTTAGTGAGGCTCGACAACTACTAAGTTCTTTTTGTACCCTCTAGCTACTCCAGCGCTGTTGTAGAGAGTTTTTGAACAGTTATTTACTGCTTACAGTAGACTTTTTTCAACTATTCTCCTATGTGAGATGGTTCTCCTTACCTCTAAACTCTTTGCACAAAATTTTAGATAGGTATTCAATAATTGTAATCTGTGGTTTTTGTTTTTCATGAATTCGTGTATGGAGTGTAGAGGTAAAGGTAAGGAGAAAAGTGTTAAGTAAATGTGGCGCAACTGTAGCTAGAGGGTAAATTTTAAATAACTTTT